TGTGAGTGATAGTGTGAGGTAGGTTGGGGAGGAGAGGAGGGGGGTGTAAGGTAACACCTCTAATTTCGACTCTTGTATATTATTATGATGGCTTATTGGTGTTGCAAGTGCCGTAAAACACTGACTTAAACGTTGTTTTTTTAAACCAAAAAAAAACCTCGGACACAGACAATCATGGACATTTTCTGGTTATGTTTCTCTGGACTTGAATCTGAGACTCGGAACAAACACTCTCTAAAAAGCATGTTTGTCGTCGTGTGTCGGTCTTTCTCGTTTCGTTTTCCCCTCAACAGTTTTAAACTTTTCACAGGATCTATCCCGTCCCCTTCCTCATTTCACGCCCTCCCACCCTCCTTTTTTTTCAAAGCACATATCCTCATCCCTGTTATAAGAGATACATGCATGTGCGGGTGGTTGGCGGGTGCTCTGGTGTCATTTGCTCCTTTATTCCTATCAAACATCTATCGTCCTTAAATCTCCCCTCTTTCTTTTTTGTGGTTGTTAAGTTCTTGTAACACCTCTAATCTTCGGCTCTTGTTGTGTTGCAAGTGCCGTAAAACTCTTGCTAAAACTAAAAGAGATATACATGTATCTGGATTTCTAGCCAGAACACTTTGTACTGTCTGCATGTTGCTATTGTACCCCTATGTAATTTGTGAAACGCTCAGGCTTGAAGCCTGTGGTTTGAAGTCGGGGTGGAGCACTATGTAGGAAATGTCATAATTAATTAGGACATTAGTATTCTTTGTCCTAAGGTTTTATTATTTTTTCCCCTTCTCTTTCTGACAATGTTAATTGCCCTGTGTGTTAGAATGTTTCCCAGAACTACATGTGCTGACCTGCTTTTATCTGCTTGTTTTTGTATTGACTAAACCTTGTGGGTGGTTGGCGGGTGCTATGGTGTGGTTTGCTTCTTCTTTCCTATCAAACATCTATCGTCTTAATCTCTCCTCCTTCTTTTTAATGTTTGTTACTCTCTTGTAACACCTCTAATCTTCTTGCGCTTATATGACCTTCAGTTGCGAGCGCCGTAAAACCTCTACTAAAACTAAAAACTAAATAATGAAACAGTTGTTGTCGTTGTTGTTGTCGTTGTTGTTGTTTTTGTTGTTGTTTGTTGTTGTTGTTTTTGTTGTTTGTCGTTGTTGTTGTTTTTGTTGTTGTTTGTCGTTGATTTTGTCAAATGTGATGCAACTAACAAGTGTGTAATAAACAGCTGCGTTCATCTTTATAAAGTTTTTGTGTGTATGTGCGTTTTTATGTACATGATTGTATGTGTATGCTTTTGTGCGTGTGTGTGTGTGTGTGTGTGTGTGTGTGTGTGTGTGTGTGTGTGTTTGTGTGTGTGTGTCATTCTCATCCATCCTGTCGTAACTGTGAGACTAACGGTGTGTATTTTTACCTGTGTGTTCCCCCACAGACATCCGACAACAGCTGAACGACCAGCTGAAATGTCTGGAGACCAAGCTGGACACGGAGGTGTCGATAGTGGCCGAGCTACAGGAGTTCTTCAGACGCCGCGCCGACGTGGAGCTAGAGTATGCCCGGAACCTGGACAAACTGGTCAAACAGATGATTGCTCGACACAAGGCCGAGAAACCCAAGTGAGTGGACGGGAGGGATGGATAGATAGATAGATGGATAGATAGACAGACAGACAGACAGACAGACAGACAATGACAAACTAGTCAAACAGATGATTGCTAGACACAAGGCCGAGAAACCCAAGTGAGTGGACGGGAGGGAGGGGGAGGAGAGGG